AACACACACACACACACACACAGAGAGAGAGAGAAATGGAAATGGAAATGGAAATGGAAATGGACCCAAGAAATATTATCAAACAATATGTTTGTTGGGAAATGCTAGATTTGTATGCAGCTCCACCCCGTGGCTGATATATGAATAATATGTGACAGATTTTCTGAACTATTTTCAGGCCTTCAACTAAATCTTCAAATCAATTCCAGCTACCCATTGGATCTTGCTGAATCAGAAACAAGGTCAAGAGAACCTCCTGACTCAGGTGACCATTGTTTGAGCCACATGATCTTTGATGGAGAATTTCTTCTAGCCCACAAGAAGTTCAGAGAAATCATGTTTCCTGATGACAAATTTCAGTGGAGACTTTTGAAAACATAGCTCTCCATATCAGGCCCTGCTAATTTTGGGATTATGAGAGTTGAACCACAGCCCATCTGAAAGACACTAAAGCTGAGCGGGCCTGTTCCATGACATCTGGACCTGCTTGATTTACAGAATAAATCACAGCCAAGTTTACTATGGGAGGAATGATCAAAAACTATTCTGCTCTATCAACTCAAGCACTTCATCATCATCTTTATTATGGTCAGAGACCAGGATTACAAATAAAAATGCATTAAAATACATTGAGATACATTAAAAATACATTAAATGAAGTGAACAGAACGTGATAATATATTTACAGATTGATGAGATCATCAGTGGGCAGTGAAAATCTGCCTAATTTTGCAGAAGTACAACAAAATTTAGCTATGTTCAAGGAAACTAAATCATTCTGATCAGATAGCAACAATTGGACATAAAAAAGATCAGAAATCCCTGGATATTTTATCAGATGAAGAGTTATTAAATGGGTTTGTGAGTCCTTATAGAAAATACAGTATAACAGGACATGTGCTATAGTTTCAATAGCCCCTTGTCCACAGGGGCACAATCTCAGTCATATGGGACTTTTTTGTATCGGCCCTCCAAAACTGCTATAGGGAGAGCATTACAGCATGCTAGAATTAATGCCCTCTGAAATTTGCGGACAGTGATGTAATTTAGCTATCTTGCTGGCTTATAAGAAAAAGCTTGACTGCTCAAAAAAACAGTCTTAGACAAAGCAGGCTGA